CAGGAATGCTGGAGGGCACATGAGCACAGCCGAGAACACATAGAGGAACTCCCGTACCTTTTCGCCGTTCTGTTCGAGGACAGTGACCCTCTTCTCCTTCTGTAGCTGCAGCAACACCAAGTAGAAGGTCCTCTCATCCGGGCAGGAGTTAGCGCAGAGGGTGCTCAGCTCCGACAGGGCCACCACAGGGTGAGAGGAGAGGGGAGAGTTCTGATACAGACGATACACCTCCTCGGCCTTTTCCTGCAGGGATGGCAAAATGGACTTATGGGCCCTGGCCACCACCAGTTAACCCTACCCTGAGCTTCGAAACCACAATCACACAAGGCAAGACACTATTGATAGCAAAAATACAGAGGGAAAACTGTTTTAGCTTATTTTAACTGCTGAGGGCATGTGCACTTGCCAAAGAGAGATGAACAGATGACAAAGCACCCCCTGAGGGGGCATGGGCACATCACAATCCCTTCTTCTCCATTTCTCCATCCTATTGGGATTTTGGGTGTGCACAAACATGGGCCTGGCATGTTTTCAAAGCCACCAGGGCCGGGAATCAACCCACAGTCAGTGATGTGAGGTCTGGTTCCCTTGACCACCAGGCTACAGAGCCGGCCCAGGAAATGCCCTTTAAAATTTTTTTTAAAGAATTATTTTATTTAATTTTATTCATTGTCTTTAGTAATTTATTTATTTTGAAGTTGACCAGAGAGAGAGAGAAAGAGAGAGAGAGAAGGAAAGTGAGAAAGTAAGCTTCCAGGTCCAGAACTCAAACTGTAGTCAGCCATGTGGGGATCCAGCCACCTTAACCACCATGCCACCTGCCAGCCTCTAGGAAATGCCTTTTTAAAAGGAAAGACAAAATATTCCATCTAGGACATGTTGGTTTGAGATGACAGAAAGACAGCCAAGGAGATACATACAGTAAATAATTGGATATACAAATCTGAATTTCAAAAGAGACACCAGGACAGCAGACAGATCACAAGTAATTAAGATCACAAGGGTGAATGAGAGATATTTGGAGATATTTGTTAAAATTAAAAAGATACATATGCATTTCTAGAAATCAATTCCCCAAGTATAAAAGAAATACAGAGATGTGTATGCTATTGAAGTAGCATTTTCTTATAGTGGAAAATGGAGAGCAAAATGTAATGACTTAAATGTTCTTCTGTGTGGCAACAGTTACATAATTTGTAGCATATTTATCTATATATTTTTAAGAGATTTTTGCTATAGGGTGTGTGCGCTCACCAGAAAGACAGAGAGACAGACAGAAAGCAAGAAATCACCCCCCGGGAGGATGGCCATGCCACAATCCCTTCTCCTCCATTCTCCTCTTGGAATTTTGGGCATGCATGCACATACGACAAGTGTGAGTTTTAAGTTGCCGGGTCTGGGACTCAAATCATGGTCTATGTGGGAGTCCAATGATGTAACCATTACCCCATCTGAGGGCCCCATACTTATGGCCTGTTTTCCAGCCACTAAAAAAGAATGAATTAGATCTTGTTAAAGAAAAACACAATAATCACAGAGTCATTTCTTCCAAAATAGGGTCAAGAGGTAGTAGAAGGAAAAGGAACTCAGGTGTTGATGGTGACTGACCTTGGAGTATGTACCCACTCCTGTTTTGTGATCCTCTTTGATCCTCTTCCTCAAAGTACGGTAGAAAAGAATTTGCTCTGATATTCTATTATTGGCTTAGATGGGACCCATCAATAGATATAACAATTATCTCTGTTGCTCTTTTTAAGGATCCATTAACTGAGCTCGCATTGCATAGGCAAGACTGAGGAATGTCAACACACCTGAACAGTCCGGGCACAAGCTATGAGCCATCCCCCAAGCCCATCCAGCTGCCAAAGAGAATTACTTACTCACCACTGTCTGAGCATCGAACACATTCTTTCCTCCCTCCCATTCAGGACTTTTTATTTTTAAAATCACCCTGAGGAGACCAGCAGATGGCATAATGGTTA